GCAAGACGAAATCCTTCCAAACCTTTGTTTTCGTGGCGATTTCAATGTAAAGACATGAAAAGCCCAATGGTTTCCCAAACAAGTTTTCAACATTTCATCCCGCGCGCTCTTGCGGATTCCTGGGGGGCCCAATGCTTTTTCAATTCTCCTGTCCAAGGAGGCCGTCGCGCGCGCATGTCGAACTTCTTGCAATGCCCTCGCGCGCTTGCCAGAGGCATGATCCCTGTCAAATAATACCAGGCGGGGAACCGTCATCGTCATCATTGCCGTCGGGAAGCGCCGTGATCATTCTTATCGTCGTTTGTCGACGCCGTCGTCCGCGCTGTCTCCCGCAAAATGGACTATGCCCGCGCGACGAGCGCCTGCACGCCAACGAACGCGATGAAATTATCGGAGGAGCTCCACGCTGTAACTGTACTCGCGACATTTTTGGTTTCGCCAACCACCTCATCTTTGTTTGTCGACGCTGTCGTCCCTGCTGGTCTCCCGCAAGATGGACTTTGCCCGCGGTACGAGGGTCCGCGTGCCAGTGGGCTCGGTGGAATTTACGGACAAGCTACACGCTGTAACTGCAACCGCGACCTTCTGAATTTTGCCGACCAAGATGCGGGTGGAAGGGTGGGGTGTTCGCACGAGCATGGGAGGTGGTCTCGCGCGGTGCAGCGTGGTCAATTGTACCGCGTCGATTATACCACAAATGTTGGTTGCGCCCCGTAGGTCACGCATGTATTGCATTACACAACGGATTTATTGCACAAGCCCGGAATTCCACAACACATAGGTTGCACTGCATGGATTGCAACGCGTTGTCGATTGCACCACGTAGATTATATCACAAAAGCGTGCGCAAAACATGGAGTCCACCACGTATCCGTAAGGGCTTCGCCCCCTGCCGCCGGCCCCCCTCTGTCAGAATCGCGTTGGTGCGTCTCGGCGCTGCGTTGGCGCCCTTTGGAACATCATATGGGGGCCGATAGGAATCACCAGCGCATGTTGAGACGTTGGCGTTCTCCTAGTGGCCTTCGGCCCATCCCGCCACCGTGCCTGAGTTGTGGGTCTGAGGCCTCTTGTCGACGTGTTGTGGTGTCGTGGGGAGCCCCGAAAATGCCATTTGGAGGCGGTTTGGGCGCCTCTTGGGGGCCTTTGGGGCCTCGTGGATTATTTTTAGGGTCTCTCAAAGACCTCTTGGGCGTGTTTTGGGCGCCTCTTGGGGTCTCTTGGGGCCTCTCGGCGGCCTCTTGGGGCCTCCTGGGGGCTCTTCGGGATACAAATATCGGGTGTTCGGTTCGTGGTCCACTGCTTGGGCCCTTCTTGGGGCCGTGTTGGAGCCCTCTTAGGCCTTCTTGAGCGCTTCTGGGGCCCGTGTTGGGGCCCTCTTGGAAGCCTCCTGGGCTGTCTTGGGGCGGTCTTGGGAGCTCCTCGCGCCGTCTTGGAGCGTCGGACAGCCGGAAATTCGAGAAAGCGAACATCCTTCGAAAATCACAGTGCGATCTACGATTTTGGCCTCTTGGGGCTCTCTCGGGAGGCCTTTTGGAGCGCTCTTGGGGCCTCCTTGGGCCCTTTTGGGCCGTTTTGAAACCATCCTCGGGCGCCTTGGAGTACTCTTGTCCTCGGCAGTGCGAATTTGGCGTAATTTGCAAAAGGTTTATGGTTTCGGGGACGCGAGCATTTTGTAATTTACGAAGGTGTGTTGCTTCGGGGGCGCAACGCTTGCGTAAGGTACGAGGGCTTGTGGCCTCGGGGACGCGAGCATTGTGTAATTCACTAGGGGTTACGGCCTCTGGGGCGCGAGTCTCATGTATTTTTACTTGTCCCACGCTCCCCCAGGAATTCAGGCAACGCGATCTGGGCGTGGTAAACTGGATCCTTTTGGGCTCCCATCCCTTTGCGCGGACTTCAACAATTTACAGTAGGAAGCAGAAAGCAGGACTATAACATTGGGGACATGAAACTGGAAGTACATGGGGCAGCGACTTCGGCCTGCAGCCTGGTGGCCCCACAAGGGGGCCGGCGGATATTGTACCACGTAGAGTACACCATATAGTTTGCATTACATAGAGTGCGCAAAATGCATATTGCACAACCCGCGAGAGGACTCGTGGCTGAGGGGGCAGTTCGATACCATCGACCCACGCTACTGCGAGACCGAGGTCACGGGCGGCATCAGGCTTCTGTTCAAGACTATTCGCACGCTGAAGGATCGAATGAGGAGGGAGGAGGGAGGGAGGATGGGGGGTGGGATGCGTGAGTACATGGAGTATATGGGTTCAACGCTACATGGTCATCCCTCGTCTCGAAAATGCGGTGTGTGCGGGCAATGACCTTGTGGAACCTGGGTGCTCGTGGCTCCGCCGACACGCATCGCACAATTTGGGCCCACAAGGTTTGCCCAGGGACTCTTACGCACATGGTCCCAGCCGTGAGTGGGCACAGAGCCGCTGTGCGCGCTTGATCCGCTGCTCCATAGACGCGAAGGCTGGTTTCATTGCACACAGGCGTTTCATCAAAAGTGTACTGGCTTGCGTGCCGTGTGCGTAAGTCGACGCTGGTACCGTGAACGCAGTGCCATACCACTGCACGCTGCAAGGGGAGCGAGGGGAGGGGCAGGGGAGGAAGGGAGGAGGGAGGAGGACGATGAGGAGGAAAGGCAATCCACAGGCTGAGTGATCAGGGGCCCAGCAAGGGCGTTGGCTTAGAGCGTGATGCTTCATTATGTTGGCTGGAACATCGGAGTCCCTGGAAGCGCGAGTGCCCAAACTCCACTTCGCTTGCGCGCTTGTCTCGAATGCTGAAGAATGGCATACCCCAGACATGCGAATGCTTGAGGCATGCTGTGTGCACATGGTATCAGGCGGTTGCTTCGAAGGTACCCAACAGCGTTCCACGATCGGTTTCTGACAGGTATCAATGTGGACAAATAGGCGACATTCGTCGGAAGCAGTGACCGACGTTGACCCCAGGAGATTGTGGAGCAGTCGGTTCAGCGACGAATGATTGCGGAACGTGTCAATGCAGTCTTCTCTTGACGTTCGCTCCTCCCGCGTGCAAAGCAGGAGAACGAGGAGACAAAGGCCATCGCCGCGATCGCCGAGCAGATCAAGGTGGAGCTAGAGGAGTTCAAACCCTATCTGCCCCTCATCGTCAGCCTCCGCAACGAGGGCATGCGGGACAGGCACTGGGAGCAAATCACCCAAAAGTGCGGCGTGGAGGTCAATCCGAACATGCAGGGGGGCTTCACTCTGAAGAACCTCATTGACAGAGGCCTTCTAAACTGCGTGCAGGAGGCGGCGGAAGTGGGCGATCGGGCGAGCAAAGAGTACACGTTGGAGAAAGCGCTCACGAAAATGAAGTCCGACTGGGAGCCTCTGCAGTTCGACCTCTCTGAGAAGTACCGTAAGACAAACACTTACATCCTGAAGGGCGATGGTGAGGCCATGGTCCTTCTCGACGAGCACATCGTGACCACACAAGCTATGATGTTTTCGACCTTCAAGGGCCCTTTCGAGGAAGAGATTAGCGACTGGAATACGCGCCTCATGCGCGTATCCGAGACGCTCGAAGAGTGGCTCAAGTGCCAGAAGGCGTGGATGTACTTGCAGCCCATCTTCGACTCAGACGACATCATGCGGCAGCTGCCCACTGAGGGGAAGCGCTTCAAACACGTGGACGCAACCTGGCGCTCGGAGATGCTTGCGACGCGTGAGAACCCAAAAATCATTGACATATGTGCTTCTGAAGGCTTGCTAGAGAAGTGGCGCGAATGCAATGTGATGCTTGACATGGTGCAGAAGGGTCTGGAGGACTACCTGGAGACAAAGAGGAACGGCTTTGCGCGCTTCTATTTTCTGTCCAACGACGAGCTTCTGGAGATCTTGTCTCAGACGAAGGACCCGACCCGGGTGCAGCCTTTCCTGTCCAAGGTGTTCGAGGCGATGGCCAAAGTGAGTTTCAACGCCGACAACGAGATTTTGGATATGGTCTCGCCCGAGGGCGAGACTGTGGAGTTCGTGCAGCCAGTGGTGACATATCAGAAAGCGGTTGAGGTGTGGATGTGTGATCTGGAGGAGGGGATGCGCAATGCGATCCGCAACGCCATGGACCTTGGGGTGGGGAGTTACGCTGGCATGGAGAGGACGCAGTGGGTCTTGGACAACCCTGCGCAGATCGTCCTCAACGGATCCCAGGTGCACTGGACAGCCGAGGTGGAGTCCGCTTTTGACAACGGCCTCATTGAAGAGTACTCCAAGAAGTTACAGGGCCAGATTCTCGGCCTGATCGAGTTGGTGCGGAAGGGCCTGACCAAGATGCAGAAGACGACCATCGGAGCCCTGGTGGTCATCGACGTGCACGCCAAAGACGTCATCGGCGGCTACGTTGAGAACAACGTCACCGAGAAGACTTCCTTCGAGTGGATCTCCCAGCTGCGCTACTACTGGGAGACGGACGACACCCAGCAGGAGAACCTGTGGGTGAAGTGCGTGCAGACGTCTTTCCCCTACGGCTACGAGTACCTGGGGAACTCGATGCGTCTGGTCATCACGCCCTTGACTGACATGTGCTACATCACGCTGATGGGCGCACAGGCCCTGAATCTCGGGGGCGCCCCTGCTGGCCCCGCGGGCACGGGGAAGACCGAGACCACCAAGGACTTGGCGAAGGCGCTGGCGAAGCAGTGCGTGGTCTTCAACTGCTCCCCCGAGATGGACTACATCATGGTGGGCAAGTTCTTCAAGGGCCTGGCCTTCTCTGGTGCCTGGTGCTGCTTCGACGAGTTCAACCGCATCAACATCGAGGTGCTTTCCGTCATCGCGCAGCAGTTGATGGTCTTGTTCGGAAAGAAGGCGGAGCTCGCTAGCTACAGCGACACGACGGAGCTGGAGTTCGAGGGCACCCTCATCACCATGAAGCCCACCTTCAACGTCTTCATCACCATGAACCCCGGCTATGCGGGCCGTGCCGAGTTGCCCGACAACCTCGCGGCCCTCTTCAGGCCGGTGGCCATGATGGTGCCCGACTACGCCCTGATCGGAGAGATCATGTTCTACGCCTACGGCTTCACGGACGCCAAGGTGCTGGCAAAGAAGATGGTTACCACCTTCACCCTCTCGTCCGAGCAGCTGTCCTCCCAGTGCCACTACGACTACGGCATGCGCGCCGTGAAGAGTACCATCGAGATGTGCGGCAAGCTCAAGCGCGAGGCCAGCGAGGGAATGCAGGAGGATCAGATCACGCTGCAGGCGCTGCGCGATGTGAACGTGCCCAAGTTCCTGAAGGATGACCTTCCACTATTCGAGAACATAATTACAGATCTCTTTCCCTCCACCGTACGGGCGGACGTGGAGTACGGTAACTTGACGTCGGTGCTGCAGAAGTGCGGCAAGATCCAAAACTTGCAGCTTACCGAGAATTTTGTCATCAAGATTGTCCAGCTTATCGACACCATCGGTGTGCGCCACGGGCTCATGCTCGTGGGCCCGACAGGTGGCGGCAAGACCAGCAACTACCGCCTGCTGCAGGCGGCGTCAATCGATCTGTGCGAGAACGGCGATGCAAAGTACAACAAGGTGCAGACTCACATTCTCAATCCGAAGGCGATCACCCAGGCGCAGTTGTACGGCGCCTTCGACGAGGTTACGCGCGAGTGGTCGGACGGCATTGCCAGCGAGTGTGTGCGGACGGCCGTGGCGAGCGGCAAGAGCGGCTGCACGGACAACCATTGGGTCATCTTCGACGGTCCTGTGGATGCGCTGTGGATCGAGTCTATGAACACGGTTCTGGATGACAACAAGAAGCTCTGTCTCACCTCTGGAGAGATCATCGCGCTGACTCCCCAGATGCGTATGGTTTTCGAGGTGGAGGACTTAACCGTCGCGTCTCCCGCTACGGTGAGCCGGTGCGGCATGGTCTACATGGAGCCGTCCGCGCTCGGCAACGAGCCCCTGGTGCAGTCCTGGCTCGAGCGCCTCCCCTCCACCTTCAAGAAAGATATGGTGGAGATCCTGAAGGAGCTGATGCTGAGCTTCACGCTGCCTCTGATACGCGTGGTCCGCAAGAAGACCTCCGAGCTGTCGATTACAGTGGACAATAATTTGTGCAAGTCGCACTTCTCCCTGCTGGACTGCTACTTCCACGAGTACATCCCCACCGAGGCCAAGACGCCGAGCGCGGACGAGATCGCCAAGCTGGGGACCAACCTCATGCCACTCTTTTTTTTCACTCTGGTGTGGAGTGTTGGAGCAACCTGCGACAACAAGGGCCGCAAGGTCTTCAGCGACAAGCTGTGGGAATTGATCAGGGAAAAGGATGTCAAAGTCGCTCGGGACGGCGAGCTTCCTGATGACTGCTTCTGGTACGACTTCGTGTTCGAAACTTCGGGGGAGCGTGAGGGCCACTGGACCAAGTGGCTCGACTTTGCCCCGAAGTACACGGTGCCCCCCCGCTCCGAGTACCAGAACATTGTTGTGCCGACCGTGGATTCTATCCGCCTCACCCACACGTTCTCCACACTGGTGCTGAAAGATAAGCACTGCATCATCGCTGGGAACACGGGCACAGGCAAGTCGTCGTACGTGACGTTGTGGCTGCAGAAAGGGGCGCCCGATTCATTCATGCCCTTGTTCATCAGTTTTTCGGCCCAAACCCATGTGAATCAGCTCCAAGACCTGTTGGACTCCAAGTTTGAGAAGAGGAGGCGTGGCGTATTTGGTCCGCCGGCAGGCAAGAAGAACGTCGTCTTCGTCGACGATCTCAACATGCCCAAGAAGGAATATTATGGCGCACAACCACCCATCGAGCTGCTGCGCCAGTGGCACGACTACGGGGGGTGGTACAACCGCAAGGAGTTGAAGGTACAGGAGATCATCGACATCATCCACGTCTCGGCCATGGGCCCGCCAGGCGGTGGAAGGACGGAGGTCACCGGGCGCCTTAAGCGCCACTACAGTACCCTGGTGGCCGCGGACCTCGCGCGGGAGTCCATCGCGGCCATCTTCTCCACGATCTTGGACTACTTCCTGGCCCAGGGCTTCGAGCCGGCCATCCAGCAGCTGAGCGCACGCATCGTGGCCTGCTCCATCGGCATCTTCGAGGCCGCCGGCGAGGAGCTGCTCCCAACACCGACGAAGAGCCATTATCTGTTCAATCTGCGCGACATCTGGAAGGTGTTCCAGGGCATTTGCTCACTGAAGTCCAAGAAGATCAGCGAGCCCCTTTCTGTGGTGCGCTGCTACTGCCACGAGAACATCCGCGTGTTCGGAGATCGTCTGATCAACGAGGAGGACCGCTCCTGGTTGCGGCAGAAGCTTGAGGCCACCCTTGAGGACAGCTTTGGCATTGATCCCGCGATGGTGTTCACAGGCGACCGGCTCATCTTCGGTGATTTCATGGGCCAAGGTGACACAAAGTTTTACGTGGAAGTCGAGGATATGGCTGCTATGAAGTCGTCAATGGAGTCTTTCTTGGACGACTACAACAACATATTTTCAGTCGCCATGCCGCTCGTCATGTTTACGGACGCCTGTGAGCACGTCGCTCGCATCTGCCGCGTGCTGCGCCAGCCCAATGGCAACGTGCTGCTTCTGGGCGTGGGCGGCTCTGGGCGACAGTCGCTGTCGCGACTCGCCACGTACATGTCGGAATACGAGATTTTCCAGATCGAGGTCATGAAGGGCTATGGCATGAACGAGTTCAAGGACGACCTCAAGACCTGCCTGATGCAGTGTGGAAACCAGCAGAAGGCAACGACCTTCCTCTTCACGGACACTCAGATCGTCAACGAGCAGATGGTCGAGGCGATCAACAATGTGCTCAATTCGGGCGACGTTCCCAACCTGTACAAGGCCGAAGACACGGACGCCATCATGCAGGCTTGCCGTGCGACCTGCCAGCAGGCGGGCCTGACTCCGACGAAGGCGAACGTGTTCAGCACCTACCTCACGCGCGTGAAGGCCTGCATCCACCTGGTCTTGGCCTTCTCGCCCGTGGGCGAGGCCTTCCGGACCCGCCTCCGCATGTTCCCGTCGCTGGTGAACTGCTGCACCATCGACTGGTTTGCGGAGTGGCCGGCGGAGGCCCTCGGGGGAGAAAAAGATACGGATACGTGTTGTCCCCCTTTGTTTTCGGCCTTTCCTGGTCCTCCTGAGGAATCCTCGTTGTCACCGCTGGATTCGCCTCGAAATTCTGGTCAGAACGCACCCCAAGAGAGGTCCGGGGACAACACGTATCCGTATCTTTCCGCCCCCCAAGGCCCTGTACAGCGTTGGCAAGCAGCAGATGACGATGGAGGACCTCAACCTCCCGAACCTGGAGGGCGTCCTGAACCTGTTCAAGACGGTGCACCAGTCGGTGGAGGCGGGCGCAAAGAGGATCATGGAGTCTGCGAGGCGTCCGATCTACATCACGCCCACGTCGTTCCTGGAGTTGATCGCATCCTACAAGAAGGTGTTGGAACTGCGGCGAAGCGCCGTTGGCACTCTGAAGATGCGGTTGCAGAAGGGCTTGGACGCCCTCGCCGCAGCGGCGTACGCAGTGGCGAACATGCAGACGGAGCTCACCGCAAAGCAGCCCGTACTGGAGCAGACGAAGAAAGAGGTGGGGGAAATGATGGTGGTGATCGCTCAGGACAAGGAGAAAGCAGCTGTCACGAAGGAATCGTGCACCAAGGTCGAATCCGAAGCCAAGATCCAGGCCGACTCGGCGACGGCCATCAAGGAGGACGCGCAGCGCGACCTGGACGAGGCCCTGCCTGCCCTCAACGTCGCCGAGAAGGCGCTGAAGGCCCTGAAGCTCGCGTCCCTGCAGGAGATCAGGGTGCTCGGCAGCCCTCCGGCTGGCGTGAGGCTGGCGATGGAGGTTCGGGGCCCCCCCAAACGGTGCGGTGACCACACCGTGTGGCGAGTCAGCGGGGGTGCGGTTTCGGGACTTGGGTCGTTCTCCCAGGACGTCTCGTGCAACTGGGGCCTACAATGGCCGAAAACCGCGCGCGTGGTCTGTGATCGCGCCGTTCTGGGGACCCCAAACAGGTGTTGTGCGTCTTCTTCAACATCAAGCCCGTGAAGAAGGCCGACCCAGCCAACCCTGGCAAGAAGATCGAGGACTTCTGGGAGGCCGCGAAGCTCGGCCCTTTGAGCGATCCAAAGAAGCTTCTGGATGATTTGTTCGAGTTTGACAGGGATAACATTCCCGAGGCTGTGATCCAGCGGGCGCAGCCGTACATCGATCGCGAAGACTTCGACCCCGTTCAGATCAAGAAGGCCTCCGTGGCCTGCGAAGCGCTGTGTATGTGGTCGCGCGCCATGCACAAGTACCACTTCGTAGCCAAGGCTGTAGAGCCGAAGCGCAAGATGCTGGCAGACGCCGAGGCGAGCCTGGAGGTCACCATGAAAAAGCTGCGCGGCGCCCAGGCGGAGCTCAAGGACGTAGAAGAGAAGATTGCCAAGCTAGAGGCGGACTACAACAGCTCCGTGCAGAAGCAGGACCAGCTGCAGAAGGACATGGACATGTGCGTCATCAAGCTGGGCAACGCCAACAAGCTCATCGAGGGCCTCGGCGGTGAAAAGGACCGCTGGTCGCAGACCGTGGAGACTCTCGGTGAGGAGTACGAGCTGCTGCCTGGGGACTCCCTGGTGGCCGCTGGCATGGTGAGCTACGCTGGGCCGTTCACGGGAGAGTACCGGATAGACTTCATGGATTTGTGGCTGGCCACGGAGGACGAGTGCGGCATAACCCACAAGGAGGGCGCCAACCTGGTCAACGTGCTGGGCCAGCCAGTCGTCATCCAGGAGTGGGCCGTCAGCGGCCTGCCGAACGACAACCTGTCGGTGGAGAACGGCATCATCATTGCCAACGCCCGGCGGTGGCCTCTGATGATCGATCCGCAGCGGCAGGCGAACAAGTACATCAAGACGTACGGGAAGGTCGCCAGCGACGGCGGCATGAGCACGTGCAAGCTTTCGGACCCTGGCTTGCTGCAGACAGTGGAGCTGGGCATTCAGTTCGGGAAGTGGGTGCTGCTGGAGAACATTGGCGAGGCGCTGGACCCCGCGCTGGAGCCAGTGCTCCAGCAGCAGAAGATACGCGACGGAACCTCGTTTGTGATCAAGCTGGGGGACAAGAACGTAGCGTACGACGACAAGTTCCGCTTCTTCATGACTACCACGCTGGCCAACCCGCATTACTCTCCGGAGACCTCTGTGAAGGTGACGCTGCTGAACTTCGCCATTACGCCCGAGGGTTTGCAGGACCAGATGCTGGGTGTGGTGGTGCAGAAGGAGCAGCCTGAGATGGAGGAGAAGAAGCAAGAGCTGGTGAAGAACAACGCTTCGATGAACAAGCAGCTCAAGGAGATCGAGGACGATATCCTCCGGCTGCTTTCCGCCGATGGCGACATCCTGGAAAGCAAGGAGCTGATCGACACGCTGGAGTACTCCAAAAAGACATCAGCCGTCATCAACAAGGCCATGGAGGAGGCTGCGGTCACTGAAAAGGAGATCGACGAGGTGCGGAAGTCGTACCGCGACTACGCGTACCGCGCGAGCCTGCTATCGAAGACGCCTACGGCGAATCACCGCCGCCCCCTGCATTTTGGAATCGCCCATGTGGCCGAGTGTTGTGGCAAGAGCTCTGCCAAGCTATCGGACCATGTGTTCCCCCCAGCCGTTGTGGAAGCCCTTCGGCTAACACTTGGGGGAGGATGGCGGGGAAGATCAGGAGGAGGAGGAGGAGGAGGAGGAGGAGGAGGAGGAGGAAAAAGGAGGGGACATCTTGGATGCTTCTGGGGGCACTCTTGGGGGCCTCCTGGGAGCTTCCTGGGAGCCTCTTGGAGGCATCTCGGGGGCCTCCTTGGGCTTCTCGGGGGGCTGGGGCGCTTCTCGGGGGCCTCTTTGGCTGTTTTAGGGCATTCCTGGCCCGTCTAACGCCGTCGGAAGCCGTTTTGGGGGCTTCTTTGGGCCGACTTTGGGCCCTCTTGGGAGTCTTGGAGGCCTTTTGGGGCCCTCTTGGGCCATTCTGAGGCCATCTTGGAGGCCTCTTGGGCGATCTCGTGGCGATCCTTGGGGGCTCTTGGGCCGTCTCGGGCCATGGGAAGGCCGAAAAGAAGCAAATGCGAACATCTTTAAGCAACCCATTGACGGTCAATGATATTGGCCTCTTCGGGCCTTCCTGGAGGCCCTCTTGCGGGGCTCTTAGGTGTGTTGGAGACTTCTTAGGGGGCCTCTTGGGCCGTTTTGGGTCATCTTGGAGCCATCTGAGGCTGTCTTGTCAGGCTCCTGCCCCGTCTGACGCCGTCGGAAGCCGTCTTGGGGGCTTCTCTGGGCCGACTTAGGGCCCTCTTGGGGTGCTCCAGAGCCCTCTTGGATGCCATACTGGGCGTCTTGGAGGCCTCTTGGGTCGTCTTGGGTCTCCTCGGGGCCGTCTTGGGGCCCTCTTGGGCCGTTCTGGGACCATCCTGGATGCTTCTTGGGCGATCTCGGGGCGACCTCTGGGGGCTCTTGGGCCGTCTCGAGCCACCGGAAAGGCCTCCTGGAGACAGTTTTGAGGCCAGTTGGGGGCCGTTTGGGGGTCTTTCGGGGCCTCGTTTTGGGGCTCTTGGGGGCCTCGTGGGGCCTCTAGGGGGCTCTTAAGCTCTCTTGGGGGCCTCTTGGGGCCTCCTGGCGGTCTCTTGGGGCGGAAGGCTCGAACTGTCCATTCATGTTCTCCCTCTTGGGCCCCTCTTGGGGCCGTCTTGGGCCCCTCTTGGGCGATCTTGGGCGCCTCTTGGGCCGTTTGGGGGCCCTCTTGGACTGTTTTGGGGCCCTCTTAGATCGTCTTCAGGCGGTCTTGGGGGCCTCTGGGGGCATCTTGGAGCGTCGGAAGCTCGAAAACGCGAGAACGCGAAAAAAATCGAAACACACACACAAGGAACATCAATGATTTTTGCCTCTTTGGGCCCTATTGGGGGTCCTCTTGGGGCGCTCTTGGGGCTTCTTTGGAGCCTCTTGGGCTGTCTTGGGGCCATCTTGGGCGTCTTAGAGCCCTCTTGGGCTGTCTTGGAGGCCTCCTGGACCCTCTTGGGCGCTTTCTGGGGCCCTCTTGGCCCGTCTTGGGGCCCTCAGTCTTTTGGAAAAGTCATGCGTGGCAGCCCAAGAACGCGCGGGAACGCCCAGGGAATTAGCGAATTTAGGCCCCCAGCCTTTAGAATACTATAAATCCCAGAGTCCTGACCGAGCACAGAGAGCAGAGGACACACGAGGACCCGGAGAAAACTCCACTTCGCGCCTCGCGGCGCGGTGGCGGATTCTTCTGCGTGACCGAGTTGATGGTCATTGACCCCATGTACCAATTCAGCCTGCAGTGGTTCCAGCAGCTTGCGGTGATCGGCATCGACAACGCCCCCTCTGGCGGGGAGGGCGCGGACGCGCGGCTCAACAACCTGATCTCGTACTTCACGTACTCGATCTACCAGAGCGTGTGCCGGGGCCTGTTCGAGAAGCATAAACTTCTGTTCTCCTTCTCGCTCTGCATGAAAATCATGAGCGGTGAGGGCCGTCTGGACGCGGGCGAGTCGCGATTCCTGATGGCTGGGCCCACTGGGGACATCAAGGACGGGATCCCCAATCCGGCGCCCGAGTGGCTATCCGCCAAGAGCTGGAACGAGGTGTTATCCTTGTCGCAGCTGCCCGCGTTCCGCGGCCTCGACACCTACTTTGCGTCGGACGTTTCGGGCTTCAAGAGGATCTACGACGAGCCGGAGGCCGACAAAGAAACATTGCCGGGGCCCTGGGAGGAGAAGTTGAGCCCATTCCAGAAGATTTGTTTCTTGCGCACCCTCCGTCTAGATCGGGTTACCACGGCGGTGCTGGACTTCGTCACCAAGGACATGGGGCAGAAGTTTGTGGAGCCGCCCACCTTCGACATCGCGGTGTCGTTCGAGGACTCCACGAAAATGTCGCCGCTGATTTTCGTTCTCTCTGCCGGGAGCGACCCTGTCGCTGACATGCTCCAGTTCGCGGAGGCCAAGGGCATGGGGCAGAAGCTAGAGAGCATCTCCCTAGGGCAAGGCCAGGGCCCCAAGGCCCAGAAGATGATCGAGCGGGCGCGTGAGAGCGGCGGCTGGGTTCTGCTCTGCAACTGCCACCTCTCTATCTCCTGGCTGCCTGAGCTGGAGCGGATCTGCGAGCAGCAGAACGCCGATGAGACTGACAACATGTACCGCCTGTGGCTCACCTCCATGCCCACGCCGCAGTTCCCGCCGCTTCTCCTGCAGAACGGCGTCAAGATGACCAACGAGCCCCCAAAAGGTCTGCGCGCCAATGTGCTGGGCTCCATGTCCAAGTGCGACGACCGGATGCTGAACGACTGCGAGAAGCCCGAGGCCTTCTCCCGGCTGGTCTTCGGGTTCTGCTTCTTCCACGCGATCTGCCAGGACCGGCGCAAGTTCGGGCCGATCGGCTGGAACATCCCGTACAACTTCACGCCCGAGGATTTGGTCACCAACCGAAGGCAGTTGAAGTTCTTTTTGGACAACTACGACTCCATCCCTTACAAGGTGCTGCAGTTTCTGGGGGCGAAGATCAACTACGGCGGCCGTGTGACGGACAAGAAGGACAAGGTCCTGATCGAGACGATGATTAAGATCTTCATCTGCGAAGACACCGCTGTGAAGGGACCCGAGTACAAGTTCTCAAAAGGCGGGTTGTTCTACTGCCCAGCGGCGACCTCACAGGACGAGTTCCTCACCTACCTCAGGGGATTGCCCATAATGACGCCTCCAGAGGTTTTCGGGCTTCACGAGAACTGCGAGATAACATGCGCAGAGTCGGAGAGCATGGCGCTCCTGGAGGACGTCATGTCCACGGCCTAGTCCATCGGATCCTGCAGGGGGGTCTCGTAATTCAAATTACTATATCGCTACACAGGAGGGGTTTTTCTCAGATGCGCAGCGAGGCCCTTTGTCGACACACTAGTCACACCTCGACTAAGTATGCTTTCGCGGACGGGTGCACTTGTGGAGGCCAATCGCTCCAATAGAGCGTTATTCTTCATGCTGAGATCCATGCCCCTTACCGCGAGCCTCATGAGCCTGGGGGACGGGGGAGGAACATGGAATTAGCATACTCCTCCCACCCATCCTACCCCTCCCACCGGCTCGCGTCGTATCTCAGACCCTACCCCTCCCACCCATCCCTTCCCATTGCGCCGTTTTTTTCCTCCATCCGCGGACGCGTGCCATAGCGGACCTGGAACTCCCAAACAGACCCCGAAAGGAGCTGCGTACAGAGGAGGAGGAGCAGGAGGAGGAGGAGGAGGAGGAGGAGGATCCGCACGTATGATGAAGAGTTCTGCCTTCCCTGGTGCACTGCTGCTGCTGCTGCTGCGCTGCTGCTGCTGCGCTGCTGCTGCTGCGCTGCTGCTGCTGCTGCTGCTGCTGCTAGCTTCGACCGAGCTTGGCTGCATTGGGATTCTACCCACGTCGCAGAAGAGGCGGGAGGAGTGTGGAATGCTGCCTTACTAGGCTAACTCGCCCCTTTCACCTGCGAAGTTTGCAAACGAGTGCGCGCTATCATATCTTGTCGGCGCACGGCCTCTGTGCCAACGCGGTTGTGGAGCGAGGCTCCGCGACCTGGTTCATGCCGCCGGAAGTCGATCGAGAACGAATGCGCTTGATTGATGATGCTCATGTGGGGTCGATGCTGCCCAGGAAGCAGGAGCATATAAACATTGGCCGCCACTGCACGCTCGTCCTCCAGCTTGTGCTCAAGATCTAAGTCGGTGGCGCAACCTTGTCCTCCAGCTTGTCCTGCAAGCTGGGCGGCATCGCGGTCCTTCGCGAAGCCTGCGCCAAGCACACGGATCCATGGCGCCCGAGACCGAACGCTCAGCGTGGAGGCCTTGAGCCAACATGGCTACGGGATAAAGGAGGAGGAGGAGGAGGAGGAGGGATGATGATGATGATGATGATGATGATGATGATGATGATGATGATGATGATGATGATGATGCTGATGATGATGATGATGATGGTGGTGATGATGATGATGATGACGATGATGATGATGCTGATGATGACGATGATGATGAGGATGAGGAGGAGGAGGAGGGATGATGATGATGATGATGGTGATGATTATGATGATGATGATGATGATGATGATGATGATGATGATGATGATGATGATGATGATGATGATGATGATGATGATGATGATGATGATGATGATGATGATGATGATGATGATGATGATGATGATGATGATGATGATGATGATGATGGTGATGATGGTGGTGGTGATGATGATGATGATGATGATGATGATGATGCTGCTGATGCTGATGATGATGATGATGATATGATGATGATGATGATGATGATGATGATGATGAGAGGAGGAGGAGGAGGAGGAGGAGGAGGGAGGAGGAGGAGAGGAGGAGGAGGAGAAGGAGGAGGCGGAGGGACGGACGGAGGAGGAGAACGAGGAGGAGTTGGAAGAGGAGGTGAGGAGGAGGAGGAGAAGGAGGAGAAGGAGTGAGGAGGAGGAGGAGGAGGAGGAGGAGGAGGCGAGGGGGGGGAGGGAGGAGGGAGGAGGAGGAGGGAGGGAGGAGGAGGAGGGGGGAGGAGGGAGGAGGGAGGAGGGAGGGAGGGGAGGGAGGGGGAGGGAGGGAGAGGAGGGAGGGAGGAGGGAGGGGAGGAGGGAGGAGGGAGGAGGAGGAGGGAGGAGGCAGGGGGAGGAGGGCAGGGAGGAGGAGGGGGGGGGAGGAGGGAAGATGGAGGGAGGAGGGATGAGGGAGGAGGGAGGAGGGAGGTGGGAGGGGGGAGGAGGAGGGAGGAGGGAGTGAAGGGAGGGAGGGGAGGAGGGAGAAGGGAGGAGGGAGGAAGGCCGGGGGAGGAGGGGAGAGGAGGGGGAGGGAGGAGGAGGAGGAGGAGGGGAGGAGGAGGAGGAGGGAGGGGGGGAATGAGGAGGAGGAGGAGGAGGAGGAGGAGGAGGAGGAGTCGGAGGAGGCGGAGGAACAGGAACCGGAGGAGGAGAAGGAGGATTCGGAGGAGACGTATGACGAGGAGGACGGGAGGACGAGGATGAGGTGGAGGAGTAGGCGGAGGAACAGGAGGGGGAGGATGAGGAGGAAGAGTAGGAGGACGAGTAGGAGGATGATGATGGCGGTGGTGGTGGTGAGGAGGAGGAGTACGAACCATACTAATAGGAAGACGATCACGAGTACTACGACGACGACGACTACTACTACGACTGCTACTACTACTACTACTACTACTACTACTACTACTACTACTACTACTACTACTACTACTACTACTACTACTACTACTACTACTACTGCTACTACTACTACTACTACTTCTA